ATAGCTCAGATCTCTCACAGTTACACAAAGTCCAAGAAGAATCACCTTTGGACAGCAGTCCAGATAAGTCATTTTCAGGAGCTAGAGGCCAGCTTATTTCAGCAAAGCAAGAGAAAATATCTCCAGAAAACTCTCAGAGAAAGGAAGCACAAGCTACAGAAACTCTTAGATCTAGTATCAAAGATCCTGCTGTCTTCACAGACAAGAACTTAACATTGCCATCAACTTTAATTCCCAAAGTTCAAGATTCCGTTAAAGATTTATTTCCCAGTCACAAAGAAACTTCTGCTGATTTTGCCAAAATTAAAGAAGAATCTCAAAAAACTGTTATTTTTCCAATTGAAATGAAACCTGCTACCATATCCTCAAAGATTCTTGAAGAAGTATCTGCAGGTTTTACTACAGAGGATAAGATATCTACTACAACTACTTCTTCTGTCAAAGAAGAAAGGGTATGTTGTTATTAAATACTAGCCAATTAGCCTGTCATAAGGGGATTTTCAGGACTCTCCTCCACATCGGTCTTCTCTCGTGAGCCTCCGGTCTCTCGCTCTGTCTCTCTCTCTCTCTCTCTCTCTCCTCCTCCTCCTGCCTCCCCCTCTCTATCTCAGCTCTCCTCCGCCTTCTGCCTCGCTCTCCGTCTCTCTCTTTCTCTTCTCCTCCTCCTGCCTCTCTCTTCGCTCCATCTCTCCCCGCCCTCTTCCCCTCCCGCCTTGGCGCTTGTCTGAGTGCTGTGTGCTCAGCCAGGCCGCCGTGGGGGAGCCAAAACAGCCGCTTGCTCCCTTGCAGCAGCCCAGCTCAGCAGTGCAGCACTCAGCCGAGCACCACGGTGGGAGGGGAAGGGGGGCGGGGTGGTGACATACACGGCCCTGCTCCCTGCTCAGAATCTGTAAAAATATACCATAGTTTTTAATAATTTTAGTCTTAGTGTTTCTTTAGTTGTTATAGTTTGATTTGTGTCTCCCTATCTTGGGGAGCTTCTCACAGAGGACTGTGCCCTGAGTCCTGGGATTTAAGAACTGTATCTCCAGATAGCATTCCTTCTCTGGCAGTGATTAACACCAGCATTAATGCCTTTACTGCCTTGGAAAGGCTCCTATCTCTGCCAAGTGCAGCATTTGTAACTCCTTTCCCTAAACTTGTGAGGGAAGAGAACTCCATAGGAGGAAATATCTCATGGAGAGGGTCATGAGATCCTCAAATGTCTGGTTACAGATGGCTATGTCTACACTGCTGTGTCCAGGGAACACGTCTGCTCTTCCAAAATTTTCTTAGGAAGAGTAGACACGCTTTTTCAGCATCCCTGAAAACCTTGTTTTATGAGGAAGAAGAGATGTTCTGAAAAAGTGTAGACGACTCAGTGTAGACGGGCCTCTGGGAGCTGATACAGTTGGTACAGGTGGAAAACTGCAGCACAGGGATTGTAATTTGCCCAAAGTCAACTAACATAACTGTGACAAAGTTGATGATAGAACTCAGGTCTCCTGGATCTCAGTTCTCTGCTTTAGCCAGTAACACAATAAGGCTTGCTTGGTGTTTTTTAATGTCACAGATGTTGATGTTTCTGCTTCTTGAATTGTGAGGTTAGTTAGGATACATCTTCACAGTAGCGCATACCTCAAAATAAGCTACACAATTTGAGCTACACAAATCGCATAGCTTATTTCAAAATAGCTTGCAGATGGCCCCTGACTAGTGATGCAAGTCAGGGGTGTCTTAACTCAAACCCTCATTTATGATAGGTGCTGTGTGCCATTGTAAATCATAGAATCATAGAATCATAGAATAATAGGACTGGAAGAGACCTCGAGAGGTCATCGAGTCCAGCCCCCCGCCCTCAAGGCAGGACCAAGCTCCGTCTACACCATCCCTGACAGATGTCTATCTAACCTGTTCTTAAATATCTCCAGAGAGGGAGATTCCACCACCTCCCTTGGCAATTTATTCCAATATTTGACCACCCTGACAGTTAGGAATGTTTTCCTAATGTCCAATCTAAACCTCCCCTGCTGCACTTTAAGCCCATTACTCCATGTCCTGTCCTCAGAAACCAAGAGGAACAAATTTTCGCCTTCCTCCTTGTGACACCCTTTTAGATATTTGAAAACCACTATCATGTCCCCCCTTAATCTTCTTTTTTCCAAACTAAACAAGCCCAGTTCATGAAGCCTGGCTTCATAGGTCATGCTCTCTAGACCTTTAATCATTCTTGTCGCTCTTCTCTGTACCCTTTCCAATTTCTCCACATCTTTCTTGAAATGTGGCGCCCAGAACTGGACACAGTACTCCAGCTGAGGCCTAACTAGTGCAGAATAGAGCGGCAGAATGACTTCACGAGTTTTGCTTACAACACACCTGTTAATACAACCTAGAATCATATTTGCTTTTTTGGCAACAGCATCACACTGTTGACTCATATTCAACTTGTGGTCCACTATGACCCCTAGATCCCTTTCCGCCATGCTCCTTCCTAGACAGTCGCTTCCCATCTTGTATGTATGGAACTGATTGTTCCTTCCTAAGTGGAGCACTCTGCATTTCTCCTTATTAAACCTCATCCTGTTTACCTCTGACCATTTCTCTAACTTGCTAAGGTCATTCTGAATTATGTCCCTATCCTCCAAAGAAGTTGCAACCCCACCCAGTTTGGTATCATCTGCAAACTTAATAAGAGTACTCTCTATCCCAATATCTACATCATTGATGAAGATATTGAACAGTACGGGTCCCAAAACAGACCCTTGAGGAACTCCACTTGTTATCCCTTTCCAGCAGGATTTAGAACCGTTAACAACAACTCTCTGACTACGGTTATCCAGCCAATTATGCACCCACCTTATCGTGGCCCTATCTAAGTTATATTTGCCTAGTTTATCAATAAGAATATCATGCGAGACCGTATCAAATGCCTTACTAAAGTCTAGGTATATGACATCCACCGCTTCTCCCTTATCCACAAGGCTCGTTATCCTATCAAAGAAAGCTATCAGATTAGTTTGGCATGACTTGTTCTTCACAAACCCATGCTGGCTATTCCCTATCACTTTATTACCTTCCAAGTGTTTGCATATGATTTCCTTAATTACCTGCTCCATTATCTTCCCTGGGACAGACGTTAAACTGACCGGTCTATAATTTCCTGGGTTGTTCTTATTCCCCTTTTTATAGATGGGCACAATATTTGCCCTTTTCCAGTCTTCTGGAATCTCCCCTGTCTGCCATGATTTTTCAAAGATCATAGCTAAAGGCTCAGATACCTCCTCTATCAGCTCCTTGAGTATCCTGGGATGCATTTCATCAGGACCTGGTGACTTGCTGACATCTAACTTTCCTAAGTGATTTTTAACTTGTTCTTTGTGTATCCTATCTTCTAAACTTACCGGGGTCGGAATTCTGGCGATCGCATGTTGGGGGTTTCTTGTATTTTGAAATTTGGCACTGTCTACACAGCACTTAGTTTAAAATAAATCACTATTTATTTAGATACTGGCTTCTTGTATGGACAGTGCATAATGTTATTTCGGAATAACAGACGTTATTCCAAAATAACTCTGCCGTGTAGACATACCCTTTGGGTATGTCTAGACTACACGCCTCCGTTGATGGAGGCATGTAGATTAGACAGATAGGCAAAGGGAAATGAAGCCACGATTTAAATAATCGCGGCTTCATTTAAATTTACATGGCTGCCGTGCTGAGCCGACAAACAGCTCGCCGCGCCGACCTGAAAGCCTTTTATTGACATCCCCCTTATGTCTCATAGGATGAGGTTTACAGGGGATGTCATTTCGACAGGGGAGCATCCAGACTAGCGCCTGGAGCTGACAAACAGCTCATCAGCTGTTTGTCGGCTCAGCGAGGCAGCCATGTAAATTTAAATGAAGCCGCGATTATTTAAATCGCGGCTTCATTTCCCTTTTTCGAATACACAAATCTACATGCCTCCGTCGACGGAGGCATGTAGTTTAGACCTACCCTTAGAATCTAGCTTTAACAATAAGGAAGTTACATTATTGTCCTTCTGCTATGAACCTTTTTAAATGGTTTTCTGGTTGAAATGAAACTGTCAGGTCCTACAGTGTTTCTTAAAAGTAGTTTTCATTCTTTAGTATGCTTTCAGGGTCAGGACTACAGCCATGGGACTTGTGGAGAAAGTAAACGTGGAAGTACAGGCAGTCCCCGGGTTACGTACAAGATAGGGACTATAGGTTTGTTCTTAAGTTGAATTTGTATGTAAGTCGGAACTGGCCCCAGATTCAGCCGCTGCTGAAACTGATCAGAGGCTGACTACAGGAAGCCCTAGGCAGAGTTGCTCTGCCCCCGGCTTCCTGGAATCAGCCGCTGATCAGTTTCAACAGCGGCTGAATCTGGACTCCTGGGACAGAACAGCTGGGGCACTGCCGGGTAGGTCCCCGCAGGACCAACCCGGCAGCACCCCAGCTGCTCTGCCCCAGGCGTCCCGCAACAAAAGCCTGGTCTGCTGGGGGGGGGGGCACTAGCTGCGCCCCCTCCCCCCCCAGCAGACCTGGGAGACCCGAGCAAAGCCGCGGAGGCGCAGAGGTCCCGCTGCCTCTGCGGCTTTGCTCCTGTCTCCCTGCTGTGCTGGGGGGAAGTTCTAAAAGCCGGAAAAAAGCAGCGGACACATGTGTGTTCAATGAATAAATAATATTACAAAACATGGTATTGAGATTTAATATTAATGATTGTCAATGTAATATAATATTTTAATAATTTTATAATCATAAGTATTTGAATGTTGTGATATGTTATCATTCTGTTATTACACTTTGAGTTCCAGGTTGCTCAAGCGGATATTCAAGGCGTTCCTAAAGACCAAGAGGTAAAATACTTTCAAATAATGTGAAATAAATTTTTAAAACGACTTTTATATTTTGGAGTGTTGTGATTTCTGTAGTAATGTATTAGATAAGTATCTTCAGTATTTGCAAATTGGTAAACTGGAATTATACGTTTTGTAAATACTATTATTGAATAAATTAATTAGTTTGGTTAATTAAAATCAATTTACATTTAAACATTATTGTTTAATGTTGCATATATTTTAATTAAAGCTCAAACCAAGATCACTTGTTCACTTAAAACTTCATCTAGTTCCTTCTGAAAAATTGCAAATAAAGTATTTTAATTCTTAAATGTTTGTTCCGGATCAAGCCAGAGACTGATGTTGGCTTTATCTGACCTTTAGGGCATGTCTATACTGAAGTGTTATTTCGGAATAACAAGGTGAGTGTCTACACAGCAAGCTAGTTATTTTGAAATAATTCTGAAATAATGGGCTTCTTATTTCGAATTCTGTAACCTTCATTTCACGAGAAATAACGCCTATTTCAAAAGAGCTATTTCAAAACAGGGTATGTGTAGACAGTGCAACTGTGATTATTTGAAATAAGTGGCCTCCAGGGATTCTCACAGCTGCCCTGGTGGCCACTGTGTCCACACTCATGAAAACATGAGCCTTTAAAGCTGCAGCCACAGGGTAAAAGTTTTGTGGCACAAGGAAAGCCATTCTAGCCCTATGTCACACACCAGCAGCCTTCAGAGCTTTTGCTGCCAACATGAGCGATCCCCGTGCTCTCACCAAGCCCTCCTTGGCTGCAAGGAAGCCTGCAGTCACCTCCCAAGCCCCTGCCTGGAGGCAAAAGAGGCGGTCCCCATCCTGGTCTCGTGTGGAGATCCTGGATCTCATTGAGTTCTAGGAAGAGGAGGCTAACCTCCAGGATCTTTGCTCCAGATGCAGGAATACCAACATCTATGGTGGATGGCTGACAGCCTCAGCCAGAAGGGACATATACGCACCCAGGAGCAGGTGTGCATGAAGTGAAGGAGCTGAGGCAGGCCTATACGAAGGCCAGGGAATGCAGCTCCCACTTAGGGGCAGCACCCAAGACCTGCCCCTATTTTGACCAGCTCCACTGCATCTCCACAGCAGACTTCTTTGCCACCTTTTCTGCTCCAAAGGAGCATGTGGACACATTTCATTGCTCTCATATCACTGTGCCCCCATACCTTTCTATATGCTTACCTGCCTCTTCCTCTAATTCTAAAAGCCTTGCTCAAACTGCTACTAGAAAAAGTGATGGTTATTCTCACAGCATCATCCCGGTCTAGCCAAATGTGGCATTCAAACCTCCTTCATCTATCTGTGATAATAGCTCTCCCATCTTCCCCTCAGGAGGAACTTCCTGTCACAGGATCCAGGGACCCTGATCCTTGAATCTAAACACATAATTCCTAGATAGTTCTTGAGTATGAAACTAACCTGTTTGTATAGTTTCCCATCAGTTCTATCTAGCAAGAAATGTACAAACCTATCTTCAAGAGTGGAAATGCTCTTTTCATTCTTCTCAAGCACCAGACTCTCTGCTCTTCAAGATCCTATACCACAAATTGGATTTAAAGACACAGTGTCTATCAGTAAGCTCATAGTACGTTTGTCTGTTATTATGACCCTTTCATCCATTCAGGGCTTTTCAATTTTTGCCCATCCTACTAGAATTACATTTTACATGCCTTATTTTCTCCTCTATAGTACCCAACTCCCCAGGAAGATCTAAATGTGGTTCTCAATGTCCAGCACCCACTCACCCCTGTGGGCAGGGCAGCTGCTCTGCGGGGGGCACCACCCACTCACTAGGTGGCAGCCAACAGCAGCGCAACATTACAGGGGCTAGAGGACCCAGGAGGAGAGAGCAGCACAACTCCCCTTCTGAGACTTTTAACAAGGTAGTTCAGGTGGTGACAGACAATATGACATCATTGTGTTATCTGAATGAACAACACAGCGTTAATTTATTTCAGTTATGCACTGGGGCAAAGCATCTTTGGGACTGCTGTATAGAAATAATATTCACTCAATAGCAATTCATGTGTCAGGGAAACAAAACACTCTTGCTGATCACGGAGCAGATTGATCACTCTATGCCTGAGTGATCCTTGAAAGATGAAGCAGTAAACTCATCTCTTCAGGTCATGTGGAAATTTGGTTCTAGTTCTTTTTGCATCCAGCAACAAGAGGAAATTTCATGCTAGCTTTAGTTGCCAGCCAGGAGCCCTATCTTGTTTCCCTGTTCCTGCCCAACACTGCTCTGTCCAGGGTTCTAGCTTCATATTGGTTGCAAGGCAGCCAGTTCTTTCTCTTTGAGCTCCAGAGGATAACTGAAACTGCTCTGGTCTGCAGCCCTTTTTATATGGGCCAACCTGGCCCTGATTGGATGCTTTTTATAGCCCTTCTCTGATTGACTGCCTCTTGCCAGCCTCCTAAGGGCTGCACTTAACCTCTTTTCTGTCTGAGAGGGGAATTCAACTCCTCACGAGCATGTTTGTCTTGGGGTGTGTCTAGACTGGCCACGAGTATTTGCGCAAGAACACTGACTTTGTACTATACAAAATCAGTGGTTCTTGCGCAGATACTCCGATGCTCCCACTCAGGGATAAGCCCTCTTGTGCAAGTATTCTTGCGCAAGAGGGCCAGTGTAGACAGCCAAGTTAATTTCTTGTGCAAGAAAGCCCAATGGCTAAAATGGCCATCGGAGCTTTCTTGCACAAGAGAGCGTCTACACTGGCATGGATGTTTTTGCGCAAAAGCAAATCTTTTGCATAAAGGCACATGCCAGTAAGATGCTCTCTCGCACAAATACTTTTAATGGAAAAACTTTTCTGTTAAAAGTATTTGCGCAAAATCATGCCAGTCTAGTCATTAGCTAAAAAATAGAACTGAGTGGACTTCTAGGCTCTAAAATTTTCCATTGTTTTGTTTTTAGGTGTAATTATGTAAAAATATTTTTACAGTTTTAAGTTTCACTTTCATGATAAAGAGATAGCACTACAGTATTTGTCTGAGATGAATTACAAATAATTTTACTTTTGTTTCTTTCTTACAGCATAAATATTTTTAATACCAATAATATAAAGTGCACACTATATACTTTGTATTCTGTGTTGTAATTGAAATAAATATATTGGAAAACATAGACAAACACCAAAAATATTTCTAATAAATGTAAAATGGTATTCTGTTATTGTTTAACACTGCAATTAATCACTTGCATTAACTGTAATTAATTGACAGTCCTAGTAATTATGGTATCCTAGGTAAAAGGACAAGCTAACACTGATCTAACCTGAACTACAGTTCCTCATTTAGAGGAACCTTTAGAGAAGCCATGCATAAAGAAATGACAAGATAGAAACAGAGCTTGGATTTGAGAGTGTGAAGAGAGGTACAAGTTAAAGATGATATTCTGGTTATGAGCCTGAGTTAGATGGAGTTTGGTAGCATTGCCCATAGTTAGTGGCAAAGTAGGGAGGTATGTGTAACTAGTAAAAGCATAAAGTGATCCATTTTTGCTATGGCTGTCTTAAATTGGAAATTATCTGGATGTGCCCAAGGAGTTAGAAAGACTGGCCAAGATTTTAGTTTGACTGGATAGAAACTTGCCTGGAGAGGAGAAGTAGATCTGGGTGAAGATAACAGTTGAAGTTGTATTTTCTAATAAGATTACCTTGACGTAAAGTGTAGAGGGAGCAGAGAAAGGAGTTGAGACCAAAGAGTTCTGTGGAACCCAAATTGAACATTGAGACATGAGTGAAGAGGGTCCTTTGGATCAAATGCTGAATTAGTGATTAGAGAAATAGGAGGAGAACCACAAAAGGAGAATCATGAAAGCTAAGAAAAGACCAAATTACAACATGGAAAATATTGTCAGTGGTGCCAAAAGTATCTGAAGGATCAGAAAATGAAGTCAGAGTATTAGTCCTAAGATTGGTGAAAACTATTTTACTGGAATGTAAAAGGTGAAAGCCAAATTGGAGTAGAACTAGGAAGATACTGGACCATAAGATCTCCACATAGTGGTTATACACTGCTGTTTCAGAGAAATAAGTATATTTAACCCAGAAAGAACAGCACAGAAATGGTCATAGGTATTTCAATTAACCTAAAGAACAAATTTCACTAAGATATTAAAAAGCAATTGTTTGTTGATACATTAAATAATAGTTCATTCTTTTTTTTTTCTTTTTTTTTTGATAGACACTAATTTTGGAGAATATCTTACCTGATGAAAAATCTCTTTCAAGGAATTACAAAGAGGCAGTAGATTTTAAAGGTATACTTTTTTTCTCTTTTGCAAGAGACAGAGAATGTTTGATAATTGGTGCGATCATGCCGTAATACATTATGGAATGTGGTGGAACACATTTGAGATGTATAAGTCTCTGATCTTTTATTAAGAATATTCTGCTGCAGCTCAGTCTGCCATACTTACTATACATTAAGGAAAATTTCTTAAAGCAATCAGTTCATTCTTTAGTCAAATTGTATTTTGTGAACATTTATAAAAGGCATTCATTTATAAGTATATACTGAAAAGCTGTTTTTCTTTGGGACCTTATACTTTCAAAAAAGATGGTTCATGATAAAAATATATTAAAGCTAGTGTGCATTCATTTTTAAAATATTATATTGTACTGTCTAACATAATTTCTCTTATGCAGGTAATAAGAGATGGGCTGTAAGACAAAAGGTTTTAATTTGCAACGCTTCCATCAAATGAGAACAAATTTGGTCAACAGTTCAATTAGAACCAAGCAAAACTATTGATATGTGCAGAATTAGTAATATCTTGATCGAAAATCATTATTTTCATAGAGTCTCCAGGGATTTAAAATGTAATATAACCATTTTCAGTAATCAAAATGACATTTTCTTAAACCACAGATTTTAACTCCCTATCACCTAGATTATCAAGAGAAATGAAAACATACCTCATCCCTTCAGTTCTGCCACTCATTTTCTGTTTGATCTTTTCCAAGTTAATTCATTTATTTGTACTTAATTTTCCATGTCTGTAAAGTAGAGATGATACTTACTCTACTTTATAAAGTTCTTTTTAGATCAGTTGATAACAGGCACTGAATAATAGGTAATTATTAGTATTAGTACTATATTATTATTTATCTCTAAATAAATATTTGACTGCTAAAGATTTGAAAAAGCTTGCAATATATTTCTATATGCTCTGGCTTGTTCTTACAGACACTATCATATGTGCTATCATGCCATGCTGTATATTACGTCTTCCCCAATTCCTATACCTAGTATTTATCTCTTCAATGTGTATTTTTGCCAGTGTACCTCCAAAAATACTATAAACACTGTTTCTCAAGATATATATTAATATACTCGTCTTATTTTTGCAGGGCAACTTTGCAGATCTCAGCCTTTTTCATACCTTTGAACTTTTAGCACACATGAACTCCACTAGCAATTATCTACCCCCAATATTTTCAGGAAAGGATGCTTTTGACACAATAAATGGAGTAACGGGTTCCTTATAAAGAAATAAATCAGTGTCTTGGTCATATTTAGTTGTGGAAAATTACCCCTTTGCTTGCTCAGAAGAGAGAGTCAGTAAACCAAGAAGTCCATTCTAGCCATGTTTCTTTTCCAAATACTCCCTATGTGATGATAATACTAGGCTGTTGCAGGAGTATTATTGCAGTAGCATTATTGTCACAGAGATGGGACTTGGAGATGAAATGACTCTTGTAGCATTATGCAACATAAACATATAGTCTTATTACTTGCTCATATGTAGGTCTGGTATATTATACTGTAAGTGGGAAGCATTTTATTTTAATTTTTAAGAGCGAGGGTAGGGAGAATCCAGACTCTATATATGTATCAATAGCAGGATACCTATCAAACATTTCAAAACTTACTTTTCAAGATAAATTAAATACATTGTTAAATAGGTGTTATTTTTATTGATGTCCATAATGATTTAATTAGAATGGTTGTTTGTTTACACAGAGATCTTTAAATTTTCCTTTATATATTCAAAACACAATGCTATTAATACGTGTCCAAGTTAGTATTTAATGATAAGATAACATACTGTTTCCTGAATAATATTATGTTATAGGATTTTACAGGATAAGTTGCTAGCAAATTATTTAAAAAATACCATTGTTCATTCAACCTTAATTTCCTGTATTTTAAATGTTTTAATGAGCGAATTTAACAGATATTCATTTTAAGCTTTTGTGTAGACTAAAATGTTCTTGATGCCTGATTTTCAGATATGCTGAGCATCCGTAGGTCCAGCAGAAGTAATTGTGCACTGTGGGTGCTCAGTACTTTTGCATATCAAGCCATTCATGACTAAAGAAGGCTCCTAAATCCATGTCCTCTTTCTGAGGTGACAACTTTCCCCAGTCAACAAAGGCTAATTGGTGTCTGTCTGTGTCATTACAAAACTGTATTGAACGATGTTAACAAACACTCTTTGAGCAAAGGTTAGTTAACATCAATTATGATTGCCGTTGTTATCTGGGTACAAACTCCTATGTCCATATATGTTAAGATAGTTTCAAAGTTTGTCAATTTTGATTTTTATATTTGTAAAAAATTTGTATTAATTTCCCTCTATTTTGGTTTCAGCTTTATTGAGATATACAAAACGCGGAAGTCAACACGTGGATCGGTCGACAGGGAAAGCTGTTGTTGACTGATCCCTTATGCCTCGTGAGAGGAGGAGGACTGATCCGTGTCTTGACTGCTTAGCCAGCACAACGCGGCGGCCATTTTTATTTTAATGAAGCGGGGGATATTTAAAGCCCTGCTTCATTGACTAGGTCGGGTAGTCTAATTTACATGCCTCTGTCGGCAGAGGCATGTAGTCTAGACATACCCTTAGTAGAACCCAGTAGAACTGTTGGTAAATGCAAATTTAATAGTGAAAGAATATATTAATGTAAAATTCTGAGTTCATTGAAATTTTGTATAATAAAATCAGAATATGATTTTTGATCACCAAAATTCTAACAAAACTTTCCTAGTTCATCTGTACAAATGATTTTTTTGTTATATTAAAAAAGAAAATGTATCCTTCAAAGAGCAGCGGATGAGAAAAGAACTTATTTCACAATCAGGGTTTAAAAAAAATTCAGCCTCACACAGAGAGGCCAACATTCAGGGATCAAGAGAGGCAGTTACTCCAGGGTGTAGTGATTCAAAAGGGCTTAGGGCTGCCGCTGTTGCTACTACAGGTGTGGAAGGAGCCAGGGCCCTTGATTCTTTAAATCGCTACCTGGTGCTCTCTAGGCAGCTCTCAGGAATGGCTAGGGCATGGGGGCGGGGGCACAGTGTGGCACTCTCCAGACAAGGCTGAGGGCTGCTTGTCCAGCCCTGCCCCTTTTGCCTAAGTCCTTGCCCCATATGTGAGCACAGATCTGCCACCCACCTTGCCCAGGGACCTGGCAAGTCTGTTGGCACCCATGCACACAGATATGTAGGTTTCCCTGCCCTATTAAATGTTTATCTCCTGCAAGGATTCTGGCTGCCTAGAACCAGATCTAATCATTACCTAGGTTTTTTACTCAAACTTTTCAAAAAATACATCTTTGAGTAGAGATAAAATTTCAGGCCTAGTGATGACCAGTTTGGAAAGCTTTAAGTTTGTGAAAACGAGGTCTGACATGGAAATGATTTTAAGCATAATAGGCTACTCACAACTTGCCTATTTGTGGAATATTTAGATGATCCGTTGCATATTTTCTGTGAGAAGAACCATTATATATATATATATAGATAGATATAGATATATATTAGAGGTGTGGGAGTGTTTCTGTCTGTCCGCAAATCCATTTGTTCAAGAACTTCTCCTAAATGGTAAGAGCTAGAACCACCACATTTGGTTTGCAGCTTCCTTTTCTCCTAACTTAAAGTAAAGTCAGTATTTGGTTGTATCAAGAAATCTGGAAGTGCCAGGAATGGGACTGTTTTCCATAATATGCAAAAGGAAGAGCTGCTGTTTGGAGGGAGGTGTTATGAGAGTGGCCACTAGGGGCAGCAAGCCCACAGGGGAGAGCTATCCTGCAGAGTGTCCACCGGGGGCAGCTGTACCACCAAGGGACCTCAGAGGGCATGGCCCTGATCCTCCAGCACCTCCCAGCTTGCCGCCAGCCTTGTCCTGGAAAGAGGTGGAGGGCTGGGTGGCAGCGGGTGGATGGCTCATCCTGTGCCAGGTGCAGGGTCTGCTGGCTGGATGCTGGCAGGCTTGCAACTTGCACAGGCACCGTGGGCAGATTGTGCCCCTTTAAGGGCTCCGGGGCTGGGAGGGGGACAGAAGAGTTTTCCTGGTTTGGCCTAGAGTGGCCACCAGGGCAACCTGGGAAGGGCTAGCCTCCAGCTAGTTCAAATTAAGTGGCTACACAGCCCTTAATTCGAACTAAGCGTTACTCCTCGTTGAATGAGGTTTACCTAGTTTGAATTAAGCACTCCATTTTTATTTTAGATTTCGGATCCTAATTAAATTCAAAATAGCGGTTTGCATGTATAGCTGCTATTAAAGTTTGTAGAGTAGACATAGCCATAGAGATGAGTGTGGTGGAGGCAGTACCTGATCAATTTTGGGGCAAGGAATTTTACTCCTGCTATTTTCTCACCAAGAAGAAATTGGGAGGATGGAGACCCATCTGGACCTTAGCAATCTCAATCGGTATTTCAGGAAGCAGAGATTCAGCATGGTAACTCTAACTTCTATATTCCCAGCTTTGATTGGTTCACGTCCCTCAATCTGCAAGATGCGTATTTCCATGTGACGATACACCCAGCACAGACATTTTCTGAGGTTCGTTGTAAGCACACAGCACTTTCAATACAAAGTCCTTCCGTTCAGCCTCTCCTCCGCATCGAGTTTTCTCAAAGACCCTCGCGGTGGTGGCAGCGTATATTCTTCGTCAAGGTATCATGATCTTCCCATATCTAGACAATTGCCTGATCATTCGAAAGTTCACTGTCAGCCACTCAGGTCACAATAGACTTATTCATGGATCTGGGACTTGTGTTGAACGTCCTGAAGTCCTTGCTCGTACCACAAAGATCCCTCGTGTTCATTGGGGCACTTTTAGATTCTACAGCGGCCAAGGCCTATCTTCCTACAGAGAGGTTCCACATAATACAGAGCCTCACACAGACACTGTCCCTCAGCCCAAGAGTGTCAATACTTACTTATCTCCAACTCTTGGGGCACATGTCTGCCACGACATATGTGGTACAGCATGCCAGACTACGCTTCAGGTGCCTGCAACATTGGCTGGCGTC